ACGAAAAACAAATGCCCACCAGAAAGGTGGAACCACAAACGCATAAAGACAAGAACACACTCACACGCACCCACACACCCCTCCCCCATAAAGCGATTATGATTCAGTTACTGGTTTCCTCCGTACCGTGTCCCAAAAAAATAGCGTAAGCGGCTAATCAATTGTTTCCCAAACAAAAAGCAAACATTGGCAAGTTATCATGGAGGGCAACAGAAATCAGAGACTTCTTTGACTTTTGTACATTCAACGATAGCTCAAAACGATTCATCGAAGGCCGAAATGGTTTTCGGTTCATTTGATGATCGATTAAATGTCAATTCAGTGTTGCACCCCCATCGCCCACAATCAAGGTGGTCCACACAAATGTGGAAAACAAGGACATGCGGACACACATACAATGATGGGGCGAACGAATGGGGATCACCCACAGAGAAAAACGGCCATGCAAACACACACACACGCACGCACGCGCGCACGCGCGAACGCGCACACGCACACGCACACGCACACGCACACGCACACGCACACACACACACACACACACACACACACACACACCACTCTCTGGTTTCTGGAGCCAGCCACTTCCCCTCACTAGCATATTGTTGCTAGCCGGCGCCGCAGACTACTTGTGACACCTAAACGACTCGGCGCACAAAATAATTGCTCTCACAGGTCTGAACCCAAACTCCGCCCTACCACAAACATGCTACGCTCGCGTGTGCGCACGACACACCAAAAGCACGAGTATATTGACGGGACAAGGGTCAAGTTTCTCATTTGCAATATAATGCACATTGTGGAAACGCGAAATGCAGCGCTGGTTGCGGTAATCTCGCAGACTATTTTCCAGGCGTCTCCAAATCCGGTCGTGGAGTGCCGCTTTCCCGTACGTTTGCCATCTCCCCCTTGCTGCAACGCACCGGATTCAAAGGAATCGACATCGCAATCAGGCTCCTGCAGAGCTTGCCGATGAGCCGATTATTTGAATCCGGTGTGTTGCGGCAGGGAGAGATGGCAAACAGGCAGGAATGGCGCCCTTGAGGATCGGAGTTTGAGACCCCCTGAGTTAGACCCTTTCGGTTCAAGACAATGAAGAAGGAAACCCAAACCAAACGAAGCCGTCTTCTGTTGTTTGGGGACCTGTCAGACTAGTCGGTATCACCCGGCCAGCCCCGCCTGTCAGACGTCCTGCTATCATACTAGCATCGGCTCACGCTCAGCGATGCGAGCCGCCGAGCACACCGAGCCGAGTCAACAACCCGCAGACTATGAAGTTGTCGTCTGCAGATCGTCCACAAACCAAAATAGTCACAGGCTGTTCTGCACGGGCAGGTCGACGGGCGCCATGATGGTGGTGGCGCAGAGGGTGTTTGTTTTGTTTTTTCCCCTCCCTCCAAAAACAAAATGCTGATTTAATTGCGAACAATGGCGATATTTTGAGGGAGCCCGCAGGGGGGGGAAGGGTGAGATGAAGGTCAGCGGGCTGAGCCGCGATTCCTACATCTGGGTTTTTGTTCTTCCGTTTACCTTTGACGCGGTGCATGACTGCTTGACTGTTCAAGATCCAATCCTGCTGTGTATCTCGGCTCAATATTTTTTAAAAAAAGACAACAGCGGTATTATGATCCCTTTGAAAGTCGACGCTGTACATGTCTTGCTCGGGGCGAGCATAACTCCACTTGTAAACAGAATCATGAGAAGCGGCAGAACCACCACGCATTAAACTCATCCACCCGAATGAGACGCTAACAAACGACGACGACCGAGTCGAACAAGGATCTCCTGGATTTGCATTCTTTGTCTTGGCAGTGAGACAAATTTTGGGAAGACTGAACACAAGGGAGAACTGACTGCTGCAGCAAAGTGGAGACCGTAACGTATCAAACCGCATTGTCCAAGCGCTCTCAGATGGCAAAGAGGGTCAAGTGTGGAGGTTTCGGAAGACGCCAATCATCGAGCCGCATTTGAGCATTTGCCACTTCCCGATCAATCTTGTTTTTCCTCTATCTACCGCAGTCCCTCGCCGTTCAAAACCGAGGAGGCTGAGGCAGACAGTCGCCCCGGGGAACCTGTGCTTCTGTTTGAGGTCTCGTTCTGCCCGATTTGAACGCCAGAGCATGAAAATGGCTTTTCAGACACCAGGCAGGAGCGCACGGACGGAGCAAGCAAGGCGAGACCGTTTCAAGATTTAAAAACAAATGAAACGTTCGTGAAAATGACCTTTAGCTTGAACGGCCACCCCCCCCCCCCAACGGCTGATGGGAGGCCAACTTCAAATAAGATGCAAACAGAACCATTTAAAAGCAACTGGAGACGTCCGAGGTACGACTGGCTGACTCCAATTGTAAATGACGATCCTTAAATTTGGTCGAGCCAAACGTAACTATGATTGGTAATGTGAAAAAAAAAAAATCGGGAAGCTACCTGAAGCTCGTGCTTCTGCCAGACGCAAATAGAGAAGCAACCGGTTGCGTTTTGAGTATTTGTATCATGCGTCTCATCCGGTCAGTCACCGCAAAAAAAAAAAAAAAAAATTAAAAAATGGACGAGAATTACTTGCCACCACTTGTGGAATTACTGAAAAAGACCGTTAGCCTAGCTTCTTCCCTTCTTTGTATTATCCGGCAGTCTGCACGCCGGACCGGATCTGGTTTGGTATGCGGTCTGCAACATGTTAACATTTGAAAGATTAGCTTAAAATGACTTAATTAAAAAAAAAACAAAAAAAAAAAAAAAAAAAAAAAAAATCAGCTAAACCAATGAGCGACCGACCACCCATGTCACGTCAGCTCAGCAAACTTCGAACTCCAACTTGCCCGGTACTAGAAACGGCTTGAAGAAAACCACTATTGGCATGCCAATCGGAAAACATAGCCAAAGCTCAAGCCGAACTGATTACTGATTATATTTTGTCCCTCAAGTATAACTTCACCTGGTGATATGGCGCTAGAGCGTCTCATCCACATTGTTTGGCAAAGGCTTAAATCTCAACATCGGATGTGTAATCAAGTACAAACACACTCAAGTGATCCCCCAGACACACTTGATTAATGTGTTTGTCTGAATGATGCTAGGAGTCGATTGTAGCGCTTGGGTGTGAGACCTTCGCACGTCTTTTAATCAGCACAATTATCCGGGAATGGTTGAAGCGAGAATCGGCGCCTCTCTAATGAAGTCATCAACAGCGGGTTTACGTGCCGATCCAGGATTCCCCAAACTTTAACCAGCGATGGATTCAAATCCACTTCCTTGCCACTCGAATGTGAGGATGAATAGTTGTCCGTTGCGTGATGTGCCCTGTTCATTGCCTGGCTACCAGTCCAGGGTGCAGTCACGCAAAGTTAGCTGTGATGGGCTCCAGCTATTCCCAACCCTGAACAGGGTAAGCAGTAAAGAAAATGTAGGATGAGACTTAGCGTAGGGCGCTAACTAACAATTGTTTTAACAATGAATTAATCTGCTGATTAGTTTTGTTCCCCTTAATGAGAGAAAGTAAGTTTTACATTTTTATCCCTTCATTCCAAAACAGGACATTATTTCAAATTAACAGTGCAAATAAAAAAAAATGCACAAACATAAATTGATTATGAATGGGTTCACTGGTTTGGCTGGGAAAATGTCAGAAAATAGGCAGTCTGCCTTCAAGGAGGACTACAGAGATCTGAGAATTTTTATTGTACAGAGGCTGAAATTCGGACGATTTGGACAATTTCCTTTTTAACAATGTCTCGAGATTATTAACTATTAAAATAGTTGTCGATTGAATCGGTAATCAATTAGCTGTCAATTATTTGTTGTACTTCTCATTGAATTCGTAGGGTGGGGTCCATTTTGGAAATGCTCTTCCAAAACGTGTCACCGTCAAGAATAAGGACTTACTACTAGCACGTAATTTGTTCCAAAAGTAGCCATTTGGGGGAAATTTTCTTCATGAATTACGATCATTTTAGTTCGGATTGTTGATTCGCCGGCCACCAGCAATTGACAACGTACATATCCACTCCACCGCTACATGTGTGTTGCGTATTCAGTTGTACCTGTTTGCCAAGGTTTTCTTTTGCCAAATTCCATACCGTGCTCCCCTTACAGGAGCTTAGTCTGGGGCTGTTCCAACCCCCTCCCCTCCCCCCTTCCTCATGTTTTTCTTTTCTTTTCATCTGAGAAAACGGGACAATGTAAAAGGCGACCCGGTGGGCTCACGTTCTGTATTCCCCCCACCCCCTCACCCCTCCTGCTCATTGTGTTTCTATGTCTCTTCAACAGATTGTGTCGATTCCATTTCACTGAACCTTGTGGTCCGACGACAATAAAACTATTCTTATTCACATATAAACAAATGATCTTTCAAAATGTTTTGGGTATAAATTGGGGAACTGAAGTTCAAGTCCTTGCTCCAAAGTTCCAGTTTCAGGTCCAAATTTGAAATTTCCTTGCATCGTCGATGGATCCTGTTTTGACATATTCCCAGTTGGGGAACCCCTGTTGAAAATGCATCGATTCTTGGTCTGTGCTGCAAAAATCCATCATGTCAATTCATTCTCCGTCCATACTAGGTGCCAACTGTACTGAAAAGCCCTTCATCCCATCCTCCTCCAGACCAGAAGGACAGTGCGATTGTGATGTAAAAAAATAAAAAGGTGCTCAGCGTGGGATGATGACACACGATCACGCAAAAACGACCCTCCCAGAGAGAACTGTTTGCATGACAATGCACTCGCGAGTAACAACTTGTTGCCAACTTTAAAAAGCTGCATTTGGGAATTACAACCCTGGAAACGAAGCAGACTTGGTTGGTTCTATTTTAAATTGTTTGGCCCTGAGGCGATCATCCAAAAATGCCGAGTCGCGTTTATGTGGACGTGACAACAAGCTTCGCGTTTTTTTTGCAGGCTTTCTGGAAGGCAAAATTCTCGAAACTCCTTTTCCAAAACTTCCCGGCCACATATTAATTAACATGGGGAAAGATGATGGCAAACTACGCCATTTAGGACACTCACCTCGTTGGGAGTTTCGTCTCAAAGTGCTTCAAAAGGGTGTAGTCAAATGGAAGGAGGCGTCCATCTCCGGGAGCCGTTCAGCGACTACAGCCAGTCTGTTCGCCCAAGTCCAAGACGCTGCGGCGGCTACGCGGCGCCAACATTTCCCCCCACCTCCCACAACCGCCGCAAACACGTCCTTCTCGCTCGCTTCGTCTTCGTCAAATTCACTTTTCACCTCGCCTCTCCGACGCGGAAGAGACGAACTATGAACATTTTTTTTCTTTAAAACGCGGTTCGCCTCTTGTGTAGCAGCGGTGGGGACTTCTTAAGTCAGAACGAAGGCGGCGGCGACGGTCAGGGGGGGAGGGAGGAGGAAGAGGAGACGGGGGACACGCTAGTAAGCAGGATTGACTCAAGCAGGAAGTTTGCTAAAGACTCAGTTACCCACAATGCGTCGCGACATGCTGCGCGAGGCTTCCGGTAAACACTTCCAAAATAAAACAAACACCATTACCGTGAGACGTTTCGAAATAAAACCAAGTCTGAAATTATACACCAAACTTTCCCTCCATTCGTTATCTGAACCACTTATCCTCACGTGGGTCGCGGGCGTGCTGGAGCCTATCCCTGCTGTCTTCGGGCAAAAAGCGGGGTACACCCTGAACTGGTTACCAGCCAATCACAGTGCTTGTCCTGGCAATTCAGCTTCCCCCTAAATTCCCAAACTTTGTATATTAGGTTGCATAATATGATTGCCATTTTTTCCCCCAAAAGGATGTGAAAGTGACTTGTTGTTTGTTTGTGTTGTTATTGGCTGCATATAAAAGCACTATAGAAGATGGACGGATGGATTAAATTTAGGGTAGCTGTATAACATCAGTTTTTTCATGGATGACAAATGTGCTTGTGGTTTGTTGGCTTACAGTTTAAGTGGATGTGAGATGGTGAGACACAGAATGTAAATAGAAGTGCAAAATCCATTAGAATGCAAATTTAAGTCGACGTGTGTGTGCGTGCGTGCGTGCGTGCGTGCGTGTGTGTGTGTGTGTGTGTGTGTGTGTGTGTGTGTGTGTGTGTGTGTGTGTGTGCTCACCAGAGGTCGCTGTTGCATTTAAGCGGTTTTAGAAGGCTCTCTAACTCTCAGGAAGCAACTTTACAAAAAAACTAAATACGAAAAAAGAAAATGAATTATTGAATAGCATATTTTACTTCATTGATCTAGTTGTAAAATATCCTATCACTGGTGTAAAGTTTGAAACAGCACTTCCTGTACACATTTTGCACTCTATTTTTTTATTGTGTGTGCTCATTGCTTTTCTTTATACTGTATTATACTTTGACCAGAAAAAAAATATATAACATGAAATAACTACCTCAGCACATATAATTTTATTCATCATAAATGTCACGTTCAGTGTTGTTCTTATATACTGTTTAACCGAGTGGCCTTAAACAGCATATTTTTTTTTTAATGCTCGGAAAGATGCACCCACGCAGATGAGAGGACTTAAGTCAAAGCTAGACATTGTTTGCTTTGACTAACAGCTGGTCTTTGCCATGTACCTTTTGGAAAATGTCATTGACCCGTCAGAAACCCCAAATAAACCTCAAACCGCTGCACTAACAACACAAGACTGTACAGACAACGGCCCAAAAGCACGCACATCCACGGTGCTGCCGTCATACTATGCAGTGGAAAAATAAAGTCGGTCAAAGTCCCCCCAAAACAATGTACATAAATAAATGATGACCATCACTTCCTTTGAGCACACAAGTTTTTTTTTTCTAGTACGTGTTTTAGTTGTGTTTAGTATGTGACGTGACTGGCGGTGTTGGTTAACGCTAAAACTGCCCGGCATGCACCACTTTTGAGTTTCCTATTGTCAAGAATCATTGCCTGACGTGAACCATGCTCCCTTTATACAAATGCGCTCGACCAAAACCTCCTAAGAATTGTTTGCTTGCTTGAAGCTGGAAAAGGTCACAAAAGTCACAAAATGGGAGGACATTCAGCACTGTTGCTCCTCGTCTCTCGGAATGGCCATCCTGTCAAGATAACCAATCCAAAAGTGTCTGCTAAAGACTAAATCTGACACATGCTAAAATATCTGTTGACAAAAGTAACATCAGTTAAACATTAAACAAGATTTGATGTCTTGAGAGGACACACCATCCCAGCCTTAACCCAACTAGGAATTATGATTAAAGAGGAATTGTGGTTTGGGGCTTTTAGAGACCTCAGCGACTGGATGGAATGCAAGCGGACAGAAAAATGACTGCCCAGTTTGATCACGATATTGCAACTTAAATCAGTCAGTTGAGGCTTAGTGATGCAACGAGACAAGAACCCTAACAAAATTGGATGTGGATGTTTGGGGAAAAAAAAAAAGCCTTGGATGTTCCAAAGTGCGACTTGCTAACTAGTCAGTGGATGGTTGAAACCAACATTGAGTTGTGTGGAAAGATGGCCCACAGCACACCGGCATCAAAACCTCTCATCAACACATGGTTAACGCGGCAATGGGATTTGGGGCTGCTTTGCTCTCTCAGGGACTGGACACCTTGATATCATGAAGGAAAAAGGACTTCCCCAGTTTATTACGCCATTTCAATTCAAAATAGTTCCGTTGAAGCGCAACAGGGGATGGGTTACTTAACAGGAAAACAACCGAAAGCACAAAAGTAAATGAACAACTGAATGGCTTCAGCGGAAGAAAGCCTGCCTTCTGGATTGAGTCCTAACCTCAACCTATTTGAGAAACTGTGGCATGACCTCCAATTATTTTGTGGTATCACCTTAAAAACAATTGTCTGTTGTGACTTGACACGAAGATCAGAACATGTTTCATGAAATCCGGGTTTTAATGACTTTTTCTTAAGAGGTGAATGTGAACGACAGGATTGTGTGTTGCTGAAAAGTTCTAACATTTGTCTCTATATGAGCAGTTGAAAATAAAATAAATACCAACAATAATGACTCATAGAAGAGTAATGACAAATGTGGTGGCTCATTGCAAAAGGAGCAAATGTTTAAAGTACTTATTGACTCTGCTGTTTTGCTAATCAGTAGCCAAAGTTCATATTCAAAGTAAAAAAAAAAAAGAAGAAGAATCTGGTTAATCTATAAAAGGCAAACTTGAGTGATGATTAGACATGGATTCAAAGCATCTGTAATTTAATTAACTTTGGAGTCAACCAGCCCTCCCTCAAACTTCGGAAGTTGGTTCAAAATGCCGTTGCTGGTCTCTTAACCGGAACACGTAAGAGGGAGCACACACGTTTGAAAACTCCTATCCCGGCCTTCCTCCGCTGGCTGCCTGTGTAGTTTAAAGTTTTGAGAGTTTTTTATTTATTTATTTTTTTTATTTAAAGATTCTGCAATCTGTTTTCAAACCTCCAAATGATCTCACCATACCTCAAATATTCGAGGGTCTTTAAGGCCATATTGCTCGTGCTTCACTCAAACGAGAGCACGATGCCAACAAACGGATGCGATGCAAAGGTTGCATCAGTGAAAATGTTCTCTGAGTCACAATAACATGCTTTCGGTCTGGTTGCATGTTGGCGCAGGTTGACATAATGCAGCATGTCTTTGTGTTGACAAGCCAGGGTCAACTGTTATCGGAGTGTACCCGGTGAAAAGTAGAATGTCATAACACATACGTTATTTCTGAGGGCACACAAACACATACACACACACACACGCAATACCAAATAATTTCCCAGTTGAATGACCCCCCCCCCCAAGTTTGGTTGATGTTTTTGTGAGCGCGTGAATGCTACTCCTCTCTTATCCAGCCAATCAGCAGCGAGGTGACAGGTCACGACTATATCAGCTCTCGTTTCGGAGACAAAAACTTAGTGGAGAAAATAGCAGCAGTTGCAGCAGCGAAATATTTTTGAAAAGTTTTGACTTGATTTTCTTGTACTCATGGCACCCATTTTACTGAACTCCATGGGGAACGACCACAGTGAATATATCAAGTAAGTTTTTTTTTTTTTTTTTGGTTGGCATGCTAAATTCATGAAAAAAAAGTGGCATTGAAGGAATTACACAAAATTAGGTTGGCATGCGAAATTCATGAAAAAAAAAGTGGCATTGAAGGAATTACACAAAATTACATGTTCAGGCCAATCTTCATTTGTTTTTCTTTGTGGTTACTATTCTTTGGGCTTTTCTGTGTCCAAAAACTCTACAAATCTTGCTCGTTCATCCTGGTGAAATTTTACTCAGAGTTGCAGGTGTGATTACCCCAAAATCAGCATTTTTTTTTTTTGACGATTCAGCCCGTGTATATAGTTACCTTAAAAAACTTGAAATTTGGTAGACCTGCCTATCATGAGGGGACCCACAAAAAAAGTCTCAAAAACAGATGTCGGAAAAGACACTGAAAGTCAGCTTTTTGGGGGGGTTGAAGTGGCCATTTGAGGATCATTTTAGTAGACGTGCATTGGCATTTTTTTTTTTTTTTTTTGAAAATTCAACTGCCATGTATTGGTATGCTTTAGAAGCATGAAATTTGGTGGGCATGTCCACCATGAGTAGCCCCCTCCTCACCCCAAAAAGCATCAAGAAGCCAAAAATATTAGAAGTCTACTATTTTGGTTGAAGTGGCCATTTTAGGGACATTTTGCTAGAAATGTCTACTCTGCTTTTTTTGTTTGAAAATTTAGTCTCCATATAATACGTTCCACTGAGCAACATGACATTTGGTAGGCGTATCCATCATGAGTAGAAGCCTAAAAAAAGTCTCAATAACTCATGCTCAAATAGACAATGGAGGTCTGCTATTTTAGTTTGTAGTGGCCATTTTAGGGTCATTTTCGCAATTTCCGGGATCCTTTAAAAAAAAAAAAAAGACTGTCCAAAGGCTACCAAATTTGAACAAAGTGTACTCGACAAACGGGTGTGATGTCATATCGCAAAATTGTTGCAGTTTTGTCAATGCGTGTGGGGAGAGCTCAACACATCGCCATCAAAATCCTGCTCTTAAATGTTTAATGGGCAGAAATTTAATATGTATTTGTTATTTTATTTTTTTTGCTTTAGACAACAGGTCCATGTAAAAAATCCCTACTTGCACACCTTAGAGGAGGACATTCTCTACCACTTCAGCTTGAGCACCAAGTCTCACAACCTACCCGAGATGTTTGGCGACATTAAGGTACTACATTCAAGACGAAATCAATAATACCAGACGACTTCAGACAGCCACGATATGATATCCTCCTCTTTCACAGTTTGTGTGCGTTGGCGGCAGCGCCAATCGAATGAAGGCCTTCGCCCAGTTCATCCACAAGGAACTAAATCTGCCTGGTAACCCTGCGGAAGTCCAGGATATTTGCGAGGGAACCGACCGCTACTGCATGTACAAAGTGGGGCCGGTGCTGTCTATAAGTGTAAGTATTGGAGTTAACACATAGAGAGCCCTCTATGGGTTTTAAGTGTGAGGGTCCAATCACGCGTTTTCAGCTGGGTTAGGTTCCACCTCAACCATGACCGTAATGAGGACCAAAAATATATATTGTACACAAATTAACGCCGAAAATGTAGATCCAAACATACAAAAATATCATTAGCAGAATTGGCCGAGTCATTTTTAACTCATTAACAATATCAGTGAGCTTGATCAAAAATTATACTCAATTATCCATGTTACCCATGGACATTGTAATCGGCAAACTTTGAATCAGGGCTACGGGACTCCTCGTTTTCTCGAAATGACTCGGGCGATTGTGCTTTTAGGCGCATGGTATATATTGTTTTGACAACGAATACAGACGACAACATTTTGAGTCGAGAAACTGGACGGATGGATTAATCATACCGCTGATTTTGAATCAATTGTGAACCCCCAGTTACTGAGCCCTGCAGCCAATCCACAATTAATCGACGAACCCTGTATGGGTTCAAAATTGCCTATACTGAAAATGACACAAGATTGCAGCAAAACACCCTTTTGTTCTCTGAGATGTTCTGACTAAATTAAGCTCCTCCCCTCACTTTAACAAAGTTCCTTGGCACCGAGGTGCAATAAGATGATGTCAGAGCAATATTTCCAACATTAGACATGGATCTGGCCCGACAATTGAAATACAACCCGATTGCTGCTCCAAGAGGTGCCTGACGGTTTCACCGTAGGCAAGGTCATATATCTGCCCCCAACCAGACATCTTGCTTTGTCTCAAAACAAAGTGACGATAGCAGAGAGAAAGGCACGCGGTCTGCTTTCTTCTCCTTGCACTAAAATGGCATTTATATGAGGTTATAATTACAACGGTTTCCCTTCAATTAAAAAAAAATATTGTGAATCTGCGAATATGTGAGGGTTCGCCGGACATGGCGCCCATGAGCGTTCTAACAGCAAATGTTTTTTTCTTTTAGCACGGCATGGGTGTGCCGTCCATCTCCATCATGCTGCATGAGCTCATCAAACTGCTCCACCATGCCCACTGCAGGGACGTGATCCTTTTTCGTCTGGGAACATCCGGCGGAGTCGGTAATGACTTTTCCCGTTGCGCTTCCCAAAAGTCACAACATTCTTAAAAAAAATAAAACTAAAAAGTCACTTTTTAAGGAGAGTAACAGGTGATTCCGTCCAGGTCTGGCTCCGGGCACGGTGGTCGTGACGGAAAAGGCGGTTGACTACTCCTTCCGGCCCCAGTTTGAGCAGGTGGTTCTGGGTAAAGTCATCACGCGCAGCACGGAGCTGGACGAAGGGGTGGCCAGCGAGCTTCTGCAGTGCTCCACAGAACTGCAGAATCTTCCCACCGTGATCGGAAACACCATGTGCACCCACGACTTTTACGAAGGTAGCCGGATCTCGCTTTACCTGGTGTTTAACCCTTTCATGCACCCTGTCACCTAATAACACATTGAGTGTGACCCTGAAAGGGTTAAATGTCCTCGACGACAAAGCGGTGAGAAATCCTCTGCTTCTCAGGTCAAGGACGGCTCGACGGGGCTCTGTGCTCCTTCTCCCACGAGGAAAAACTGGAGTATCTGAGGAAAGCGTACGAAGCCGGTGTGAGGAACATCGAAATGGAGTCCACCGTCTTTGCAGCCATGTGTCGCGTGTGTGACCTCAAAGGTGAATTTCGCCGCTGTATGAAATGACGAAAACATGTTTCGTCAAACACGGAAAATGGTTGGATGAAAAAAGAACCCGCTTGGGTCAGTTGTAAATGAATAACCCAAAAGTTTGGGTCAAAAATCATTTAAAGCAAAAAGTGGAATGAATAACACTGCTTGCGTCAATGAGACACAAGTTGGGTCTTTTTGTAACAAAATAACCAGTTTTTTTTTCCTTTTTTGAAATAATACACAAATTGGGCCAAATTGACCCAAGTGCCGGTGCATTTTTTGCCCCAGCAGTTTTAAGAGTATATACAATTAAACACACATTTTTTTTCCCACGGAATTTTTATGTAGTCATGACTGTATTTCTTTTGGGTGATTTTTCTAGCGGCCGTCATCTGCGTCACACTGCTGAACCGCTTCGAGGGCGACCAGATTACGTCCCCTCACGATGTTCTGGTGGAGTACCAGCAAAGACCTCAAGTCCTGGTGGCCCACTTCATCAAGAAACGCCTGGGACACATTGCCTGAAAAGTCTTTCAAAGCAATATATGTAGATATGACGTGTGTGTGTGTGTGTGTGTGTGTGTGTGTGTGTGTGTGTGTGTGTGTGTGTGTGTGTGTGTGTGTGTGTTTAAATATACACTGTACCTAATGTTCATATGTGCTATTGAGACACTTTGTTTGGAATAAGTTAAATATGATGTAAAATGGATTTAAGTTTGTATGGCGTCATTCATTGGCTGTGTCACAGTTTGGTGCTGCTGTTAATAAGGATTTGACAAATAATGTGTTTCTCTTGTTGTTTGGAAAAAAAAAAAAAAGAATCTTGGATTATTTGGTTGGAGAGAGTAAATGTATCTCAAACGGTGTGGTTTGCATATTGTGCATGTGACCGGGATACAACTTACTTTTTTTTTCCACATGCTTATAGTATCGTATCACTGTTGTGTGTTTTGGTTGATGGCAATTTTGTGTGGTTGTTTTGAAATAAAAACACTCTGATTCATTTAATTGTGTTTTGTTTGACAGTAAACCCCAACTGGGTGTGGTTTAAACAGCTTGAATTCAAAGATTGTGTTACGTCCAAAGTGGACATGAATATTTCATTCAAGTATCGATCGGAACTTTCTACAATTTTTTTTTTTTTTTGTGTGTGTTTGTGTGTCATTTCCATTCATAATATCAACATTTCACAAATTGAATTTAACTGCCAAATGTGAAATTTGGCCATGGAATGAATCACTTGGGAGATAAATTGCAGACTCGTTCTCACTTGCTCACTTAAAACTGGAGTTCGGATTTGGTGTCTCGTCGTGGTGGTTTGGGAGGCTTAATATGGGCCAGGACCTCTTGGGCGTACTGCGTGTGGTGCAAGCCGGCCTCCCTCAGGGCCTGCTCGACCCGCAATCTGGGATCGGCGACGATCTGCACAACAACACAAGAGAAGGCAACGATTCAAGATTCACACTCTGCCTGACACGCCTGTGCTTTGCAAGTCATTTCACGCCCGGTGATTAATCGCTCATCTCTCACTGGTTGGCATTTTAGGACAACGTTTCTCCAAGTTACAAAATGATTCGTCACTGTTGCATAAGAGCAACCGCAGACTGTACCGGGTGGCCTTGAGCTAAAAGGCTGTTCCTAACAGTCTGCGAAAAGCAGGGCAAACATTGTTGAAGCCGCCAAACAGCTTGCATAATCGACGGCACCGCGCGGGTCAGCGATCACTTGCCGATGAAAGACAAAGCAGCACGGAAATGGCAAAAGAGTGAAACGGGTGGAAATATTCGGAGCTCGGGTACAAAGGGCAAACCAGCTGCAGCGGTTGGTTTAAAGGGAAAAAAAAAACAAAACATTGCTTTACCTAGGGGGCGCCAAAGGATCACGGGTAGGGGGGGTCACAGCAGCTTGAGAAAAATAAAGAAAATACATTTGACAACCTGCTGTCATTTCATTAGGCAGTCAATCCAAAATAGAACTAAAATTGAATCTCCAAAGGAAGGAGGAACGCAGCGTACAGCGCATATGGAAAGTCTACACACCCCTGTTCAAATGCCAAGTTTTTGCGGATGAGATCACGATAAACAATTTCAGAAATTTGAATTTTTTTATTCATGTGACCTTTCAGTTAGTTGCGCAATTTAAAAAAAAGCACTTCTGACAGTGGGTGTAAAAATAAGCCACTCAGATAACGTGGTTGCAGAAGTGTGCACACCCTCTTAAAAGTGGGGATGCACCTGGTGTTCACAAATAACTAGTCACATTTAAATTGATGTTAAATGGGTCTGAAGCACACGATTGCCACAATATAAATTGCCTCTGATTCCGATTAACCCTTCCAAATAAATTTCAGCTGTTCGAGAAAGCTTTCCCTGGAGTTGTATTGGTTACAGTTCACATACATGAGTGGTACACTCTAAAAACAGTTGGGTATAAAAAAACAAACAAAAAAAAAAACAGAATAAATGAAATAAATAAAATAAAATAGAATAAAATCACCTACAACAGAACCACAAAAAATGAGTTATTCTCTGAGGGTAGGCTCACCGTCCCACACTTGATACAAAATACCAATCCTACAAATTCACCTGGGCATCCGTGTACGTATGAAGTCCAAAGAGAGGCCTCTGGATATCGAATTCTCGGACGGTCAAGTTTCGATTTCGCCAAGACTGAGTGCATCCCATCATCCTTTCTGCGTCCGACTCTGCCACCACTGCAACCTGAGGTCAACAGAATTGACATTTCATGTGGCATAAATGAGCACAACATTAGCTGCACTTCCACAATCTAACCACAAATGCCAAAACAAAGCTCGTCTTTACAAAGATGATAACGCTCAGCTTGTACTGACTCTGCCAGAGCGATACCGATTGAACCGTGTTACGTTCATTACGCGCCTGTCAATGTCAGTGATGATTTGAATTGGTTCCCTTGTGGAGTTAAAAAAAGGCAACCATAATATTAGAAACAACACTCAGTACTGCCAAGAACCAAACTGCCGCCATGGCTGAAGCACTCCGACGGAAGTACAATATCAAATGATTTTCATTTTTGTCAAAATGGACCTTACATTTTATATGAACCCTTTCACGCACCAAAAATGATAACCTGTAACCTGATGACAATGACAAGCTGTCCACTCTCGTGACCGCTGTCCCTGAAAGGATTTGTTTGTATTTTTGTTGTGTTTTTGCATGTGGCCTGAGTGACCTCAATAAATGGCTTTTTGAAAAATGTTTTTTGCTGCCCTTATAATTTTTATTTGCATGGCCCTGCATTGGATATTTCTGACTGTGAGTATAGCTGCATCACTCACTCACTGCCAAATGGTGGCAGTGGTGCCCCAGCACAGATTCAAGCCTTCATCAAATCTTATGAGTCAATTCCAGTGATGGGTCCAATCAATGGGCTTTGAGAGGGGTTAAGAGCACATAATGATCCACCTGGTTCCGGAGCGCTTCCAAACGGTTGTGCCTCTCCGCTTCCTCCCTCTGACGCTCCAACTCGCACGCCTCCCTCGCCTCCTGGCGCCGCTGCAACATCTCAGCCCGGAAGCGGACTCTGGGGGAGAGTGCGGAAGGTGAAGACATTAAGACCCGCGAATGCCCTCCCCTTCCATCTGCCACTGTGCTGCAATCACACGCACGCACACGCACACACTTACACACACGCCGCACACACCACACAGTCCGCACACATCACTCATACCGCACACACCGCTCCTGACACAGCACAACTCCAAGCTTTGGAGCTTTTTATCAGGCTGTCAAGAGTGCCGCTGCTCTGCTATTGTCTGTTTTCATACGCCACAGGCCTCAGCAGTCCTCCTTTCATTCACTGTCGCATCTGAAGTGTTTAGCTTCACACAATACGAGTGTAGATGGTGATGGAAATACAAAGCAAATCAGGTTAAGCTGTGTGTGTATTCATAAAAGGCTCTTTTGCAGCTGATGGAAATTCGACGGTTAAGTGACACAATTACAAGTTAACTGGAAATGTGTTACATGACGTGCAGGGAATGTTTTGGTATGATTTAGTGGTCCAGTGGTTCGCACATCGACCTCACAGTGCAGAGGTACCGGGTTCAATTCCAGCTCCTACCTCCCTATGTGGAGTTTGTATGTTCTCCCCAGGCGTGGGTTTTCTCCGTGTACTCCGGTTTCCTCCCACATTCCAAAAAACATGCATGGCAGGCTGATTGAACACTCTAAATTGTCCCTCGGTGTGAGTGTGAGCACGGATGGTTGTTCGTCTCTGTGTGCCCTGCGATTGGCTGGCAATCGGTTCAGGGTGTCCCCCGCCTACTGCCCAAAGTCGGCTGGGATGGGCTCCAGCACCCCCAACGACCCTTGTGAGGATAAAGCGGATCGGAAAATGAATGAATAGTATGGCATAAAAGCGCACCAGCTTGGATCAAGTCTGGGGTCAAAGGTCATTGTGGGGGAGACCAGGCATCCACGCGACCCATGCCATTTTATGGTAGCTACGCTATAACTGTCATTGTTGAACGTCTTTGGGCTTCACTTTGAAGTGATGCTTTGCTCACCTCTCTTTATCTTGCCGGGCCTGCTCATCCATGGCACTCCTCAGTTTCGCCAGCCTCTCCTGATCCCTTTGCTCCAACTCCTCCCTCCTCCTCTGCTGCTCCAAATGAAATTTCCGCAGCTGCGGGGGAGAACATTACCGTTTTACGAACAAAGAGTCCCAGGAAGGGCGGTGACGTCGGCTCCCTAATTGTACTTGCGCACGGCTCTTAGCGGTCTGGCGTCCTTTTGATTGCGACCACGCCGGAGTCAGATAAGTGTAAATAGAGAAAATGGAATGATATTTCAATGTCTGGCCGACTATTGGGGTAAATTATGAGGAATCAAATGCATGGTAAATGCTCTCATTAATCATCGTGTCTCGGTCCAGGGGAAAGACTTAATGAAGCAGTCACACTAACATAGTTCTGTTCTTATATAAAGGAATCTGGTCTGCAAGCACGATGACGCAGTGTTGACAAAATACCTTGCAGCATTTTACTCGTAAGAATGTCGAAAAACAATTTCAGCAGAAGGGACATCAACTAGAGTGCTACGCAGTGGATATAACAAAGTCTACACACCCTTGATCAAATGTCATGTTTCTGAGTTGTGAAAACTATTGGTCACGAACAGCTGAACTTTATTTGGGGTTGAACAGAGCCACTTTAAATGGTGTCAAGTGTCATTTGAATGACTTTGAATGTGATGAGTTGATCCTGAACACAGCCCCATTGACAGTTAGAGTGTGCAACCGCATTTTTTTTTCACTTATTTTGACTTCCCCTCACAAACGTCACACCCCCCCCCATAGAATTGTACAGGTTATAAACCAGAATATTAGCCAAAAATAGAAATGCGTTTCCAGGTCTCCATTTTATTATGTCACAAGAACCCACGGGTGTGTAGACTTATATTAGAGCCACAATATTTCCCAAATTTCTTCGTTCGATTGGGATACTTCAACCTTCCGCTGCGTCCGAGCGACTCACCTTTTCCTTCTGATGTGCCCGTAGGGCGGCCTCTTTCTCCTGCTCCCTCTTCAAAATGGCCTCGGCCTCCTCCTGCTGTCTGGCAGCGATGGCCGCCTGCAGCTCGGCCACCTCCTCCTGATGAGCCCGCCACTGCTGCAGCTGTAAACACACACGAGGCAAAAACGCAGAGCTCGTATTGAATGAATTTCAACTGAGGCTGGCAGCCACTTGAGGATGTTTGAATGCAAAGAGGGACATTTCCTTCACGTTCGCTCACTGGAGTCAAGTAGTATACAATTTCAAAAGCAAACACGTTTGAAACGACTTGCAGAACTGTTTAACATGTCGAGTGCTCATTTCCAGGCAGTGAAATTTGCTTAAAAGGACTGCGGGTCAAAGAGTTGAATGAGTTCACAACTCTAAAAAAAAAAACTGGTAATTGAGCTTCATTGATTGCCTGTGTTTAAAAAAAAATTGAAAACATGGAAAGAGGACCTTAAAAAAATAATCATTTGTAAATTGCAATTATTATTATCGAGGGGGAAAAAATTGCAGTTACATTTTTTTTCTAAATCATTCAGCCCTTTATTTAGACCCAACACACACACATTCACTCGACAAAAATTTTCCTGTGAGTGACAGGCTGGTTATGCCGCAGGCTCTCCCTGCGGCGTGCCGGCTATTCAAGTGCGGCATTCCGAGCTCGCAGACAGATTCTCGGGGCTATCAAGAGGAGAGCACAGAGGGTGCCCCCCCCCACCCCCTAGGAATGGTCTGCATATTAAAACGCTCCCGCACGGATTAGCACCAGGGCAGTATCATCAAGACTTTTTGCACGTGTTGAATGTCTCGGGGGAACTCAGACAAAGCTCTGCTAAACCACTACTAGGACACTGTAGAAAATCATCAAGATGTTTATAAAGTTGACTTGACAGCTGTGAGTTTAATTGTAACAAAATATATATATATATATATATATATAGAGATATATATATATATATATATATATATATATCTCTATATATACGGTATATCTATATATATATATATATAGATATATATCCAAAAATAAGACTATTTATGGCTCAATGTCACCACAGTAGCGGTAGTGCTTTCCAGTTTGTTTTAAAGGCCACTTTAACTTGACATATGTTACAACATACAAAGGGTTACATGTATTATTGTTATTTTTTTCAAAATCGACTGCCCGCTATCCGCACATCTGTAAATGTGGCACTCAGGAAGCGGTGCCCGCTAGCGAGTCTGCGTGTCGGTCAACGACTGCAGCTTGAAGATTGCAATTGACTGTCGAAAGCGCAGTTTCTGTATGTAATACGTGTGTCTAAATTTGATCCAGGGTGCACAATGGCAACAAAGGGGCCTTGAACATCCAAAAGTATTAATTCTCTATCATGCAATGTACCGGTAGTATGAAATAAAGGCAAGCCGGCAGAGTCCTTTTATGCAGCATTGTAAAGTCTGTCAAAAGGACAAAAGAAATGATGGCCTTCTTCTTCTTTTTTTTTTTTTTTTTTTTATCTGTGCGCCGCAGCTTGCACAAAAGCGTCATTTTACATTGACGTCTTCAGTCACAGCGGCTTTTAGAACTTTCCACCACGCGTCTAATTGACAGACTTTGCATGGTAAAATGGGAGTGAATCCTTTCGGGAAGGAGCGTGAGCAAAGTTGCCAATTCTGAACATCGACAAAGATGAAAAGTGTCACGCCTACCGGAGTGACTCGCACACGTCCTGATAAGCCAGTGACTCACGGTTTACAGAATTGTTCAAAGGGACACGAATCAAACAAAACTAGAAGGGCACAAAGTAGAGCTGCGGAATACTTGATGGCCATTAAGAAAGTGCAATCATGCGACCAACACAGTAAAACTCCTCTACAATGAAACCTACATGTGCGAAAACACCCCCTAGTGTGAAAAAATCTTCATGCATTAAAGCCATTCCCTTTTCTGCTTCCCCCTGCAACGAAAAGCCCGCCCCCTGTTGCGTAATATGAAATCCTATTCTCCACCCTTGCCTCGCAATGCGGTTCACTACAGTGAAATTCCTCTACAACGAAACCTACATAGGCGAAAATACCCCCTAGTGTGAAAAAATTTTCATTCATGAAAGCCATTCTCACTTTTCTGCTCCCCCTACAACGAAAAGTCCCCCTGTTCCGTTATACGAAATCCTTTTCTCTGCTCTTGCCTCGCAATGAGATTCACTACAACAAAAACAAGCCTTCCGCAAAAGTCTAATACAACCTCAGCATGCCACAGCTACCTCTGCTGGGAGAAGTCCTCAACGGGCGGGCGCTGACCGGAAGACTTTTTTATCATGCTGATCTCAACCTGTTATTAGTTTCTTTGATGGATGCTTCAAATTTAACTGTTGGAGCATTTCCAAGTTGTCTTATGCAGCTTTCTCCAGTCATTACTGTGGTAAATCAAATCAATCGTTTGTTGAGAGCAGCTCGGCGAGTGGAGCGTGAGGTGGCCACATGACGACGAGGAGACAAGTAAGAGGGGGAAAAGTTCAAGGGAAACAGAAGCAACCCAAGAGCAAAGAGAAAGCGAAAAATCTGAAAAAGGAAACTGTTTTTTGTTTTCTTGTTTTAAATACATTCATCTCAATTAAATGGAATATTTTTTTTATAAACCAAATTTTTATAATTGCCTGTAAATGCCACAGGATGGAGGCACAGTACACATTTTGTCAAAAGGTCCTCAGCTCACTTCACCAAAGTTCCTTGGCACCAAGAGGGAAGCAAAGCACGCCCATTTTTTGAAATGAAGCTCCTCAACTCACTTCAACATATAGTTCCCTGGCAAGGAGATGGCTGCAGAGCGCTACTTTTGGATAAATGATGCTCTTCGACTTACGTCGATGTAGTTCCCTTGACGCCGAGATGGCGGCAAAGCACTACTTTTGCACTCCGACTTAACAGCTTTTACTTTGGCATTTGACTCGGCATTGTTGGAGCGTTTCATTGTGTTTACTAGTTTTATGTTATTCAATGTATGTCTGATTTTTTTTTCTTTTCTTTTTTTACTTGATGTGCAGCGCTTTGTTCTTTTTAATGAGAGCTTGACATTGCTGAAAAGCATGATCGGTGACATCAACCACGCCTGCCAGACAACACAAATAAACGTTACCAACCACCCGCAGTGAAGGTGCAGTGCGAATCCGGCCTCCGCTGACTTTTGAATGACATTGAATCTATGAGGAAAAACAATGCGATGTCTCGTCCTTCAGTTTAAAGGGGAGGCCAAAAAACAGAATTTCAATTGAAGCTCTTCTTTCTTGACAAAACAAGATCCGGTCATCAGACAAGCCATGGAGCGTAAAGTATCATTCCGAAACCGGCAAACCAACTGCGAGCGCTGAATCAACAGCACACAAAAACCAGATTTGTTTACATGAGTAACAAGGTTGCCGCGTGAACGGCAACAGGCACTCCTCTGAGACGACGGCGTCAGTGTTTGCATGGGGCTTCCTTTATTAGCTTGTTTGCATTAACAGCTCATCCCAAGCGGGTGCAAAATCCAAAAGATGCTTGTCAAGACAGCCCGGTGTTGACTGCAGATGCGCAAACAGAGCATCCGCACTCTCACGCAACACGACCATCCATCCAAATATTTTCTATTTCATTTATCCCGTTCAGGCTGGTGGGGAGTCCGAGCCTAGAGTCTATGTGGATAAACTGCAGAGCTCCGAGGCTGGGATTTTGACTCACGTTTTTTTTTTTTGTTTTGGTCATCAGAATTTTTTTTTACTCCGAGTCCTATTCACTTACTTTTTCCCTGAGGCGGAAGCAGATGTCCTGCTGATGCTGGCGGTCCCTTTGGAGCTCCAACTCCTCCTGGTAGGCGTCCCTGGCCTCCTGCAGGACGGCCAAGGCTTTCGCCAGGAGCTCTTCCTGGTCCTGCTGCCACTGCTGGGTCAGGACTTTTATCTGAGTCTGTGTGAAGCGCTGCCTGGCCAACGCACGCTCGTGCTCCATCTGCGAGAACACGGATACGGTGGACAATGTGGTGACAAAAGGCCACTGCTGAGAACGTCACTCTGAAGTGGAGACTTCAACGACTTTGTGAGTTTTCTTCAGGGTGCTTCTGGTGCTAAATTGATGCAAACACTTTTTACAGCCATTCTACAAGACATACAGCCTGTGATAAAGGCAGGAGGACCATAGGGAGAAGTCTTGCTCCGTTTGAGCCAGGCTAGTGAATAAAAACAACAACAACGACAAAAAAGGCCCTCCTCTCTCTTTCCTGGCTGTGCAACGTCTTGAAGAAAAGCAGTTGTTTTCTACGTGAGGGCTGCCACACGCTATTCATCATTGTGTCAGGACTCACTGCGGCTGCATCACTTGGCTGCTTTTGCGGAACACGGGGAATGATATTCATCTCGGGGCTAATAGCAGCTAACTGATGGTGGGAAGGCATGAGACGGCTGACTGACTTTACTGAAAATGAGCGAAGCCGCCGGCCTGCCAACGGAACACAAGCGCCAGGGGCTGTGAGGCAAATCATGTTCATTAATGTAGAAAAGTGTCAAACTTGTGGAAAATCGCACCCCCATGTGCTGAATTCTTTATCCCGCTTTCTCAGTGACCAATCGCTGCTGTTATTGAAATAGATTAGAGTGCCCCCCGCCCTCGCCACCACTATCTTGCACTTCATCATCACAACTGGGGGACACACGCTGTAGAATGTATCGCAGGGAATATTTTTCAACGAAACATCTGAGCAAATTTCCAACTTCTGTTTCAATGCATCTCCCAGCAAACGTTTACAGTCGAACCAAACATCAAAGGAATCGCGCAGTGGGTAGCGGTATTTAAAACGAGCCAAAAATTTTGCCTTCCCTATTTTAATTGTAACACATGAAGGAAAATGCAATTGACGGGCTAACAATTAGCATCATTAATAGGCCTTTAAGCAATGGAGGGTTTTTTCCACACAAAAGGTGGCGCAACACTAGTAGACAAAAAATATCACAATACTGACAGTCACCTAACTTTTACCTTCTGAAAAAAAGACTCAATACGATTACATTTTACCACCTCAAAGTTGTTGTCTGACTATTCTTTGTTTGTGTCTGTCTGATTGGCACATTTAATTTTGTTTTGACTCTGTTTCAAAAAAGTACATTATACGCGATACTTCTTATTAAGAAAATAATTGGGAAATATAGTTGCACTTGTGTCATATTGTTGAGTGTTTCAATGAGTTTAAATGTGATAAATAGTTTGTAATATGTACGAAAAATGTTTTCGGAATGGCTCGGGACATAATAGAAGGGGGTCCACTGCTCTGTAACGGGTTCTTCTTTTACTGCGACACCATAAAACTGTCGTCGAAATATAATAGTCGCCAAGAGAGCTGCTGCAGCCTCACGCGGAGCCACTGGGTGAAGTCATGTCTTTATGAAGACAAGAGGCGATAAAAATGGCTCCCCCGATACACTGTTACAAGGTGCTTCGTCCCGCACCCGACGTGGAACATTGCGAGGGAATTACTCCACGATCCGGCCAGTGCTTTGCTGGCCTACGTGTCACCAGGGGACAGCGAAGAGCATTTGGAGGGGGCATTGGAAAAGTGCCACTCAAATTTGAGGAGGTCTTGACAGTTGGCCAAGGTGAGCTCCAAAGTCACGTCGTGCGTTAATTCAATTGCGGAGACAATTATACACTTAATTGAAAGTACACTTTTAAATTTCCTCAAGATCTGCAATGGCTAATTGTGGGATTCGAAGAGCAATATAACGTAACTCCCCATTTGGACAAAAAATAAATAGTTGGCTCTTTTCGCCTCGAAATGGGCGGGTCTCAATGAGACCGCTGACTTCAGCGATGAGAGATGATAAAATCGAGACTTTGCCAGCCAGCTAATCTGCACCTGGCAAATGGCGTAAATATTGCAGACGAGACACGTCAATAACGACTAAAGGCGCGGCTTTCTTTCTCGATAGAAAATTGCCATTTTCATCCTTGCATCTCCCCTCAGGCTGAGCTCAGAATCTGACAACTGTGATACGAGGAGGTCTCCGGCTGCGTGTGAGAGACAGCGGCAAAGACTGTTGTCATGGTGACACTAAGCCATGATGGAAGCAACTCGGCCATTACCCGGTGACAGCATGCTGGGGACTAAATATGCATTTAAAACAACGAAAAAAGGGTCAAACAATTTTACGAGAGCCAATACGAGAGATTTCAACAATTCTCAATGTATAAAAATACTCATGCTCAGATTTGATATTTGAAGAAGATGTTCGCCGTTTCTCTCATTTTGAGCTTCTGTGACGGAATTAAAAAGAGAAACTTCAGACTCGACCTCATTCGATGACAAATGTTGTGTACATCGCAGAAGGGGGGTTCCCAAAGTGGTGCGCGAGCATCCCTGGGGGCGCATGACATTAAAACTGTAATTGCTTTCCAAATGAAAAGCTCTCCCCTGCCCCCCCTCAAAAATGAAAACGCTAGATATGACCATTATAACCAAGATATGCTCGCTGCGTTAATTAGCTGCATGAAAAGGAGAAAGCTTAAAATGACTGGCGCTCTACTTTCACTCAATGCGTAACTTTTTGGCAATCTAGCGAAACTCTGACGTGTTTTTTCACTTTCATTTAGAGGTTTAAAAGAGTAAAACCGCCGCCTTAATCGGCGTAAAACAGATTGGTGTGAATTTGGGGTTTTTTTTTTTTGTTTGTTCTTTTTTTTTGTGTCGTGGGTCTGTACGGCGGGATGTTGGGAGGGGATGCTCATTACCAGGTCGTGTTTGACTTTCTCCGGGAAGACCCTTTGAAGCATATGCAAGCACAGTGCCCGGTAGTTGGGTACGTCTTGCGTGTACTGCGACAAGGTGAAATGGAAGCGGAAGTGGTCATCTGGACACCAGCCGCAGTATCTGAAACATTGTCCGAAAACAAAAACTTGAATACAATTCCAATGATTGCCACACACACACACACACATTGCAAAGATGTAGTAAAGAAAAATGTCAGGCCCGACTTGTCTGTTCTTTTCAGGTGATCTTGAAGACATTGCAGGCGAGTGTGGTTGATGTCTGACAATGAGTGGAAGGCCTGGATCAGTGACTCCTTCAGTTCCGGGTAAGGGCAGTCCGAGTCCAAAACTTCTGCGGGAATGTTGTCTCCCACCAAGATATCCAAGGTTGGAAGATATTTCTGCGTGGGCGATCGCGTTCATCTTTCAGGAATTGCATACTCGCATTGGCACGCTGCCGATAAGGGAGGGCCATACCTCCAAAGCGAGGTCTGTAATTTCTTCTTGTAGGTCACGGTATTCTTCTTGAAGTTTGGCCGTGATGATATCTTGCTGGTCTTTCACAAAATTAACCTAGAACAATACATTTCAAACTTACAATGTAGAGCTTATTTCAGAAATGTTTGCTCATTGGAAATGGGCCTGATTTGCTTCCGTATAAACTACCTAAAGGAATGTAGAAGGAAAATGTGCAGTGTCATTTTAGTCTACTGTGCTGTACTATACATCAGCGGTCCCCAACCCCCAGGCTGCAGATTGGTACCAGTCCGTGGGTCATTTGATACCAGGCCACACAGAAAGAGTAAATAATTTACATTACTTCCGTTTGATTCATTTCGGAATCGGAAAGATATTTTATTTTGAAAAACGATCGGATTCTCTGCTACATCCATCTGCAGTGTGTCACTCTTGACGCAGGTCGTTTCTCGGTCACGTGACACGTTACCGCTAGCAAAATGAGTAAAAAAAAACAACTAACGGCTTTGGAAAGTTTCTTTGAGAAGGGGAAAAGGCCCAGCCAGGAGACGGAAGAGGAGCCTACGACTTCCAAGAAAAAGTATCAGGAGTCCAACTTAAAATACGCATTCATCTCAACGGGAGATTTCCACGCACCAACCCCCACTCTGCATAAGATGCAGCGATGGTGAGTCGTATTTTTCATGCACTTTTTATTTGCCCTGTATCTTATTTTGAAGGCACGTTTAAACTTTACCAGAGCGACCAGAGAGTGTTCCGGCCAGAGAGGACACACCTGATGTTGCACTTGTTCCCGGTTTGAGTGAGGGCTGCTGATTTCCTGATCTTGTTCCTGCTCCAACCTGAAGCACAAGTCCTCCTTCAGTTGATGAACCGGCGCCACGGTGCCCATGACGAATGCCTTGCGGTCCCTCTCGAGGAACACTTCTAAACACACGGCGAAGAAGGACTCTTCTAAGTATGAGTGGTCGTGACGTAACAAATTGCTGGAATGCCGTTCGATTGCCGCTCGACGCTCCCGTAGCTCACCGTAATCTTTGAGAGAGAAGATGGCGGTGTCTTCTATGCTGAGTGGCCTGATGTTCTCGATGAAGTCGCTCAGTTCACTCTCGGCCTTCACCCTATTTGCCAAGTGGATGAAGCACGATGAAGTGAGGCAGCACGGTGGAGAAATGGCGAGCACGTCTGCCTCCACTGTTTACAGACGTTGCTCACATAAAATAGTAAGCTGTGTTCAAAGCAGCGTTCCCCCATATCAGCAGCCCTTTTCGGGCATTTTCACTCACCTTTCCAGACCTACAGAATATTAGGGATGTTCATGACTACTTGTTTTCAGGATGATACCAGTACAAATATTCACTTTTGAGTGCTCACCGATACCGAGTACGGATACCTGGAGTAATTTTGAGAAATGGACAAAGATCTTTCTTTCTGACAAGATGATAATAGCGATAATAATAGCGTCAACTACTGGTGATGAAGAGTTACTCCATTTCATTTTTTTTTTTTTTTTGCCTTGAGTATCGGTGACTGGTATCGGCAGCTTCCACAACAACCTGATACCTTAAAATAAGGATGGTATCAGAACGATACCTATACCTGGTATTGGTACTTGATCAGCATTAGAACATGTTATTGTTTCATGAAAAAAAATAAATAAATCACGAGTCGCGACCAAAAATCTGAGTAAAAACAAGATTCGTCAAACATGTCAAGAACAGTGACCCTCCAAATCATTGTGACAAAACGAGATGTATTGCCTATTCTTTATCTTCGACTCAAAAGCTGTGCTGATTTCAAATCCAAAGTGATGCAAATTTACCAATTACGGTCCTCTGTTAAGTCGTTCATGTGGTTTACAAACCGGAAATTCACAGACAAGCTGGGTAAGACCCTCTTCCGCGCCTGCTAGTTGAAAAACATACACAACGAATATACTGTATACAGTTATATATAATATAAATGTCAACGGCACTGGATGAGTTAACAAAGCTCCTGTCAAAGCTCCTGTTCTAGTTTAATACAGACAGCGCTAAGTGTAATTTATTATGATTTGGGGGCACCTGTTCTTACCAGTCATTCTGTTTCAAAACTGGATATAATGTTGGATAGAAAAAAGATCTGTGGTGCAGGTAAGAGCGCACACATCCAAAGTGGTGATTTATTTCCTAAATCCACAAGATGGATAGGCATCGTGTCTATTAATGCGTGATTTAGCGCCCAATATTTATTTGTCATTGGAAATATTCAATCGGGGCCATCGTGTCGTCACACTTATGCTCATGTCGCGCTAAGCGGTCGAGCAATTAGGAGTAACCACGGCGATACGCGTGCATCGAGTTTAACGAGGTACTTTAAAAAAAAAAAAATCTCCATCTAATCGTACACGACCAGGCCGAAGTGTCAGGCGCACATCGCCGTGACTGTGCTCATTACCGACGACGGCGCTCTCGCGCGAGAACATCATTAACCTTGGGTGGCTTAGACATTACGCAGGCAAACAGACCGCACCCCGGGGTCCCTGCTGCCTTTCTCACTTCACAAAGCATTGTGCTTTCTTTTTTTTTATCCTCCATTTAATGTATTGGCTACCCTTCTAAAGCTTCCCCTGCACTCATTCTCTCCCACTCAGCCCCCATTGACATTGTCATCACTGCAAGTCAACATGCTCGAATGTTCTCTTTCCCATCATTTGAGTTTATCTTCCTCTCCCCCCCCCCCATTTGAGCACGTTTTTCCCCACCCACCGAGATCCCCGTTGGGGCTCAGTGGGGCTTAAGCGAAATGGCTGTTTAGTGTAATAGCAGAGACAGACAAGACTGCAGATGATAATGACTCTCTCTTACTCTGCTTTTTGCAGCCGAGGGCACTCTCTGCTCCACACCTGCCTGTGCTGCCGTAATATGTCGCCCTCCTTTATTTCCTTGGCTACACATCGGGTCCTCCGAACCTGCGAGAGAAAGATGAATACGCCGCAAGATGAAACAACTGCCGAGGAACTGCAGCGCGGGCAGAAAACTCATTTTAAATTCGTACTTCAGTGATGAGATATATTCCACCTACAGATAATTTGCTTTGGTGGGTCAAAGCTTGATTTAGTGGTCAATGTTTGGCAAGCCAATTGATTTGTGTTCAAAACGAGTTTGCGGCGCCCTGTCGGATTTACTAATGGTGTCAGAGGTTGGATGGCTAGCTGTGAATCCACCCACAGTTCAAATCAATGTAAAGCACCGTAGAACTAAAATGGAACATAAATTAATGCAATCACAACTCTTTTTTTTTTTTAATTGGTGTCAGGAGTGAGATCAGAACAGAACTAATATGAGACATTAAAATACGTACAAAAATGCTTATTCATTGCATCATGAGTTCTGCTGAAAGGGGAAGAGACAGGCTTAATGTGTTCATTTTGTTTTCATTTTTCATCCCAAAAATAAGAGGCCTTTTCCATCTGTGCGGCAACTAATTATCCTCCTGCACTGTTGTTGTTGTTTTCCACCGATGCCAGCGGATCAGCTAATTGCACAAACACAAATGTCGTGCAATTTAAAGATACAAGCAAGTTGTTCCACGCTCAAATTGAATCGGGGTGTTGACTTATGAAACCGGTTGGCTATTTATGTTCATCCGACGGCTGTTTACGTTCAACTACTTTTATGCTCGATGTATTTGGGGTATTTTGCAGTCATTATAGACATCAATTGCATGATGTCTTACTGGCTATTGGTCAAATTAATGGTGGAAAAGGTTTTGAAATCAAGTATCGTGGCATCATTTTTGATTTTTTTTTTTCGCATCACAAAAACCCCAGGGGTGTGGGGACTTTTTAGATATATTTTTTTCCATGCTGACTGTTTACACTGCCGCGTCATTCAGTGTTTTCATTTGTCCAAACCAATAACCATGCATTGGTTTTCCACTTCTGTACATTCCTGTTAATGTGAAGGACAGAATCTTATCAAAAGGCACAAAAGCAGACGTTTAATAGCAACAACAACAACAACAAAAAAAGCCACTGGCCTCTTCCTTGAGAGCAAAAAATGCGCTGAAGGCAACAATTGGTGATTTATTTACCCTCCGTCGCGTCACCTATGGGAGATGTGTGCAGAACGCTGGGCTTGCTATTCTGCCACGAGCCCAAAAATGCGAATGTCTTATCTGGGTTATGCAGCGAGTGAGGTTGGAAGGGTGCAAAAGCAACTTTAAGGCTACTTTAAAAAAAAATAATAATAATAAAGGCTCCTGCGACAGTTAAGCAATTAAAACACTGCAGGTTGAACAGCCTAATCTGCTTGGGCCACAAGCACAGACGTTTTCCCCGCGCTCTGAGTCCAACTTCAAACACTTTTAGCATCGACCCAAGGCCGCCTGATGAATATTCATCAAAGGAGGCGCTACTATAGTGTGTGGCGGCGATATTGCCGCTCTCTTTCAACTCTTCAATATGGTCCGATGTCAGTTGGAATCCTTTACCATCACAAATGATAATGACAACAACATGCGGCACTCTGGATAAACGTGGTTGACAGAGCCATGGAAATGTTACCGTTCTGCCACCCGACTGGAGCCATTCCGTCTTATCGCGACATCAACTGTTATTACATTTCAAGGGAACGTGATATGGAAAAGGCGACGCTGCGGTCGGCCGGTGAGCACGTCGGCCTCACAGTGCTGAGGTGCAGGGTTCGATTCCGGCTCGGGCCTTCCGAATTTGTGGAATTTGCATGTTCTCCCCGTGCCTGTGTGGGTTTTTCCCGGGTACTCTGGTTTCCTCCCACATTCCAAAAACATGCGTGGAAGGTTAATGGAGCACTCTAAATTGTCCCTAGGTGTGATTGTGAGCGCGAATGGTTGTTTGTCTACATGTGCCTTGCGATGTGCTGGCAACCGGCTCAGGGTGTCCCCCCGCCTACTGCTTGAAGACATCTGGGATAGGTCCCAGCTCGCCCGGGATCCTCGGGAAGATAAGCGGATTAGAAAATGGACGGATGACATTGATAATTGACTTTTTTTTTTGCGTGCATGGCGCGTTCTCCCTATTTGCTGTTTTTGTGCTCAAGCCAAAGCGTTGTCTCATAAAGTGGTGCCTTGAGATACAACTGACCCATTTATTTATTTTTTGCAGATCATGCATGACCTGAAGTTTTCGTGGCAGTGAACTCAACTCACTTGACAACATGCAGCAGTTTGGCAGATAGTGAGAAAATAAATAATGCAAAAGAGAGGCTTCAAGCTGTTTAGTGCCACTCCCAGTTGACGTTTACCCGTCAAACTAAAAATAAAACTAAGACACATTGTGTATTTAAAACAACTACATCGCTTTGCCTGAAGCCCACTTAGCCTAATGCTGGCAAACAATGCAAAATGCCAAAGACGGGCTCGCAAAAGCATCGCGGTCTTATACAAAACGATATTTCAACACCTATTAGCAGCACATGTAGACAAATACGTACATATGTATATATTCTTTGTCCTCTGTGAAAAATGATACAAATGACTGGATCTTACTCAATTGTGAGCACTCCTCCTTCATACCTAGCCATATGCCTGTATTATACCAAAGGGACAGCGCAATGTCCATTGAACAGAAAATGCGTCAGTGTGAGTGCTAATTTCCCCCTAAACAAAAGCACATTACAAAAATTGGGTTGTGTTTTTAGTGAGGCTAGAACGGATTAGTAGCATTTCCATTCATTTTAAGGAGGAAAGATGATTTGAGAGATGCATGTTTTACGGAACAAATTCAACTTGCGTCTCGAGGCACCATAGTTTGTCTCTTTTCTTGCGTTTCAAGATTGCTGCTGATAAATAGTGACTTCACCTTTTTTCCAATCGCAGCAGTCTCCAGCCGTTTGGCGTCAACCATGGCTTGCACTTTGGCATATTCCGTCGGCTTGTAGTTTGATCTGTACAGGCCATTCTTCAGTTGCGTTGTCAGTTTGTCTGCATGGAGGAAAGTAAATAACATGGGTTGATACTCAAGTGACAAGGGAGTGGAAGCAAGAGTTATTTTCACTTCCCGTATTCACGAATAATAATCACGAAAGGTAAAGTCAGTGTCAGTGTGGCTCTCCTTTCCCACGTGCAAGAGCATTACGGTAATGTAAAACCCATATAAAATGATCATTCATAAAAAGTATTTTTTTGATCGAGTGATTGATTGATTGACAGTTTGAACCGAGAACAATTAACTCAATGGGATGAATTGACATTAAACCAATAAAGCATGCACTAGATTTGGATATCTGGAAGACTAGAACACCAAATCGCATTCCATGTCAAAAGTTCCTTTTCATTGAGTTCAGCAAGAAAAGACAAAAGGTCAAATAATGCAGTGCAGAATAGATTGGCCAGCAGGCGGAGCAAAGTCGCAGTGTCAAGACATTCGTGTTTGCAGTTCAGCAGAGTGCCAGAAAATCAGGTGAACAAACAAGCCGTATGGAACAGAAGCATCAAAGTCACGTCAGGACATTTAATGGAATTCCATCCAGCTCAGATTTCACACTTGTAATCCCTCACCCAAATCTTCTGGTCTGTAGCTGGTGATAAATGCTTGACCTCCTGCATTCATTGCCCAGGTGCTAGTTGTATTTTTCAATCAAGCGGACATACAAATGATCTGTAAAAGAAAAAAAATGCAGGAACTATGTTAGTCATATCAAATATAAGTCAGCATTTCTCAATATAAAGGCGAAATGTACATTCCTATGGTGAAAAAAAGTATGTTACACAGATTTGCTGGCTACCTGTCTAAAGGTAAATCAGTGACAAACGGTTTGTGTAGAAAGCAGCTGGCTTTGACGTTTAAAGGAAAATATTCGTCAGCCGTGGGTGACGTAATGGCCGTCCACGAGAGAGGCGGAACTAACACGGAAGTGGCAAGGTGCGTTTTGAAACACAAGCGCGCGCCCCTAGTGGCTAAAATGCAACATTACTGAAATTCTCCTAAATGTTGCGAACTGAGGAGAGAAATGTACTTTTTGTTGTACTCTTGTACAACACCATTATGTCCCCTCATTTTTGTGTATGAATGACTACATGACTCTCCTTTCCAGTCAATCATTGAATAGATTCATTCATGCAACAATTCTACACCGCTGCATGTAAACAAACAGCTTAAATGCTATTATTTTATTATCCATTGTAGGAATGCAATATTTTTCACTAATTAGTCAACGATATATTGCTCTCAAGTTTCAAAGTAAAATTAAAGTATGATGCATACACATGATGGATATGAACAGGTTTCAAACACTACTTATTAGGTGTCTTAAGATTCATCAATATCTCATTATATATTACAGATTAGTTTCATTTGTTCCCTGATCATAACTCAAAACACTTGAATCTCTAAACATCTTTACGGAGTGTAATGTGATTTTTAAAGAGGAAATACAGTCACACGCTTTAATATAATTATTACACACCCATACTATGCACACTAAAGTCGATATTTAATTAGAAAAGAAAGCAGTTACCACATTTTTCCTAGTCGTATTCCTCTCTGCACTACTCCAATGTATCGTTTGACAAAAAGTGTAACCAGGGAAACTGACGTCTGCATCTCCGATTGGTTCATTCAACAACTCCAACCTTTTGGTTACTCCCCCCAGCTCAAACACTAACCAATCACAAGTGCTCGCTGCCTTCTCACTCCACCCCCTTGCTCGGGGCTGGTGTTTGGGAAGCAAGGAGCTTGCGGAGGGGCTTCGATTGGTCTCAGTCTCTCGGCTATGGAGGGGAGCAGGGTCTTCGCGTACGTTTGGGACTAAACGATGAAGTTTCCAGCGCAGATGTAGAGGGGAAAGCCGCCACCCGGCAAAGCCTCAACAACTCCACTGAGGTATTTATTTTCACGTCATCTCTTGAAACTATGTTGAGTTTAGAAAAGTCGCGAGACGTGAAAGCATCACGGCGCACGCGAGGCGGGATCCAAGTGCTACTTTCCCTTCGGAAAAGTCTTGAAATACTCGTTTATGGGATTTCGGCGTTTTTTGAATGTAATGGAGTATCTTTTTAAGTTACATTTACTGAGGCAAATGCGCTCATCTTTTCGGAAGAGGTACGTCCACACCTTCATGAGACCTTCACGTGCCATTGGGATGCAAAAATGGCTACTTCAGGCCCCTCGGTTTTTTTTTTTTTTAAATTCTAGAGGGGAACACGTTCACCTTTAGCGCAGTTTGCATTTGAACGCATGATGCCAGGAGGTCATGCAAAGATGAGGAAGGCAGGTGAGCTGACAGTGGTGGGGCGAGGGGGTGAATCTCCGGAATGCGTGGAGCTCGTGAGGCGGGGATCCAGACTTGCTTATCCCGGGAAATAAGCGCATCTTTCCGCTCATATTCAATGACTTTCTCCGCTGTCGTATTGTCTTTTTTAATGTCTTTTATATTGTATTTTTAAAAGGGTGCATGGCTTGAAACTATTTAAGGGTTACCTTGTGCAAACCCAGAACAACATAGAGGAGACTCTATATTTTAATCTCCCCGACAGGCTGTTGTATATCTTATCACTATGAGTTGCTACCAAAATAAGAAACTGATGCAGGCAAGCCCATGACAAGCCTTACCTGCTGCAGACAGTTACATTGTTTGTAATCTATCTGTCTGTCTGTCTATCCACGAGCCTGTCTCTCTCTCCATCTGTCTGCCTGTGATGGACTGGAATTACGCTGCAGGTCCAACTGTCCAATTCCGACTGAAAGGGACATAGATGATTTTTTTAATGAGGTCGTAGACAAAAAAAAAAAAAAAAATCACTCATGTATTTACGCTGTCAATCCGCCATTGACTAGAATGATAGACACAGGGTGCAAAGCCTGCGCAATTTATATATACATTTTTTTTTCAACATTAGACAAAGATAATGACATTCAAACATCCTCCACCCTAAATCTGCCAAAAATTGGCATATTTTTGCTGATTTTTTTTGGGGTGATCATTGGAATTTTACTTCCAAGCTATTTGCAACAATGTAAATTGCTTAGTTTTTATAAAAAAGTTATAAAAAAAAAAAAAAAAGAACAGACCATGTGGGGACTGACCGCTTGTGTCAAATTGTGGAAAATATTAAATTAATCAAATATGGACATACAATTGGAGGGTTCCACCCCACAGTGAGAATACAGTATTAACTGTCCTCAGTGAGTATCTGAGACAGTCAGAGGCATCAAATCCAGGCCGAGAAAGTAAAAACCCTGCCAAGTGCCAAAGCTTGGCTTTAGCCACACGTCTTTCTTCTCATCCGACAGCTAAATGAGTTCCCAGACTCGGCGGCTATGTGGACTGATGTTCCAGAAAGAACAAACAACTTTGACATGGCCAATGAAGCGCTGTCACATCTAAGCCAAAAGGCAAGCCGAGCTGCAGTTGTTAGCATGGGTTAGCTTTAGCTTTCTCAGTATTAGTATATGCTCATAATGTTATGTTTGGCTAAATCGTCTGCATCAAGGTGGGAATATGCAGTGGTGCCACGACTTAAGTTTAATTCGTTGCGTGAGCGCGCTCGTCACAGTCACTCGAAAGCAACAAAATTCAAATGGTGTCACTTGAACCGATGTAATGTAAATCCAGCCACGGTCATGTCTTTGTTTGACGAATACAGGCCCTTGGCTCCCCTGTTGCCAAACAAATGCGGCAATGTTAATTTGACAGCTTCGCTTGATGCGACCACAATGCACGCTGCTTCGGTTTTCAGCAGCGGAGATGCGTCGACTGTGAACTGACGCATGCACACAGGCAGAGGGGAGTCTCTAGGTCATGTTCCTCGTGATTCCCATTACTGCAGCCTCATTGCTGACAGCAGTGACAACGCCGGTTTGGAACAACAGAGGGGTTGTTGATGCAAAAGGTCCGCTCACGTTTTTGTTATTGGCCAGTTTCAGCCTGTCCTCTTGGCCAAAACGGCATGTGAGGCATGTTGAGAAAGGATCGAACACACAAAAAACGTTCCTGTTGGAAAGTTTGGAAATAGAAATAATCCATTCCAGGATAGAGCATTCGGTGGCTTTTTATTAATTCCAAGTGGGAAATGCAAACAGTATCTTACATTCTAAAACAAATCGGTCAAACAGTCACCATCATGATAAACTGCACCGGCAAGCACATGCTTACTATCTTGGTTCAGTCGACCACAAAAATTGTTTGACACAAAAATTCCTGCCTTGCGACTATAATTAAATCATTTAAATCCATATTTACGCCGCCCGGAACCAGTGTTTGGCCACCTTTGTGTTTCCACACGGACATTTATTGCTGTGGACTCTCTTTTCCAGCAACAAATATTACCAAAGAAGAAGATGCATATATTTGGGGTCGCTATAGACTGAAAAAGGACAAAAATATGCTTTTATGTAATTACTGCCAAGCAGAGTTGGTGGAAATTGAGGACTTGAATATGGGATTGTGACCCTGCGCGACGATGAGCCGGCCGCTGCTTCGGCGGCCATTTTGGCAGTGTTAAGAGCCGTGAGGCAAACAGAAAGGCCAGGTCCCAGGAAAGAGTGATAGGCACTCCCAAAAAAAAAAAAAAAAAACATCTCAAGTAGCAACACAAAATTAATTATGATATACTCAACTGAAAATCACCTCCTTCAGGGACATACTCGTGACAACAAGATAAACTGGATCACCAGGCGACTCTTGAGACTGGAACACGCGGCAGGAGGGAAAAAACATCAACGTGGCGAGACACCAGTGTGAACATCAAGGATCATCCGGGATAGAACGATGGGAGAAGCTGCTTAAATAAGCTGTCACCTATTCAAGCTGAGTGGCGCAGGTGCGGGAGGGAGTCTCCGCCTCTGATTTTGGCCCCGCCTCCTGCCACACTCCAGCAGCACTGCAGGAGAGCAGAGAAGGAGGAAGTGGAAGAGCGGGAGTAGGCGGAGCAACGCGGCAAAGGCGAAACAGAACCGTGACGGGCGGCCGACTGCTGCCGGCGTCAACGCAGCTTTAAATTGGTGTTTTTCAGTGAATGAATGCCGAGCAAAGTTAAGTATTTGTTTATTTATTCGGCGAGCCATGCACGTGTGAGAGTCACTTGACCTGGCGAGGGAGAGCGCACAACGCCAGACAATGCCGTAATTACATGAAAATGAATGCAAAGTATGAAAATATTGCTTTTGTTTAAGTGAGACCTTGGAAAAGTTGACTCCAAGTGTCTACTAAAAGCCATCCCCCTTTTTCTGTGTTGCCGAAAACAATCACCATAGTTTGAGTTGAAGGAAGTTTGGGTTCATCCAGTTGTTATTTATTCTTTTTTTGGTTTAAGGCAGCGACCCACCACTTTAAACCAACTGGTGTCATTTGGGGATATTGAAAAATCATCCGCATAGCCAATGCGCATCATCCGCATCGCCAGCATAACCAACCAAGGAAAGTGGTTGGTTTCAGTGGACACGACCGCAGCGTTGTGAGATGCAGCGTGTCGATTGATGCATCTTTTGTAGTCGTCCGAGCATCCTTATTCCCCTTCAAAAGGTGTTTTATTAGTCTAAGTCACAGGTGTCAAAGCCGAGGCCCGGGGGCCAGATCTGGCCCGCCACACCATTTTATGTGGCCCGCGAAAGCAAATCAAACACGGCAAATTGCCATGATGCTTGCTAAAATATGGACCAAAATGTCAAATTCTCATATGTAATGAATAAGAGAGATATTGTAAACATGTTTTTGTTGCCAAACACCCCATTACAGTAACTTAAACAATAGTTGAATAAACCGTTATTCTTGACTTCTTTATATGATTTCAGTCATAATGGCCCTCCAAGGGAAATGGTCACTAGAATGTGGCCCATGACAAAAATGGGTTTGACACCCCTGAAGTTATTATTTTTAAAACACTGATCAGGAAAAGTAAAAAAAAAAAAAAAGTCTGAATGTGATTGTTTGCCCCTCGTCTTCATAGGCGGTGCAATTTAATGGGAAGGGACAACCGCAGTTAAGCAGTCTTTGGCAGGCAGGTTTTCCCCGCCTAATTCGGGCCCGACATCAAGGTTTAAGCCTTCACCCCCTGCGTGTGATGTCAGATTTACTTTTTTTTTCACTGGGATCAAAAGTGGGTTTCCACCCGCCCCACCGCCTCCTTCTTTAGAGGTGGGGAAAGTATTGCCAGCCTTTGCCCTCATCCCCAATGACTTCAAACCAGCTTTTCCCCCCAGCCTGTTTATGTACGAGGCACTCCTGTGCACAAATCATCAATCACATTCCCCTCCAAGTTGAGCCAGACTAAGTGGCCATCAATCAGATTCCTGCGTTTTGGTTGACTCACGAACCCCTCAAATGTATTTTTATTCCGTTCATTTCGACGCAAGGGCACGCCTAATGCGGCCTTGATGGTTGAAGATCTGTTCCAAAGAGTGAAGGATATTGAGTCGATGTTGTCTTTGTTTGTTTTGGCTGACGAAGAAAGCCCGCAGCTGCGCGGCACCACTTAACGGGCGATAATAACGGTTCGCACGGTTTGCAATCAGCCAATGAGGGGCCGTGAATCAAACTGTTTCTTATGCCAATCTGCACAGTGCGCTCCAGACGGAACGTTTTCCCTTCAACCCTTCCTTTGAGGACTTTGTGATCCGAGTTCAGTCAGCTTGAACAAAAAACAAACAAAAAAAAAAACAACTCCAGAATACTCATAATCGCTTATTTGAGCAAGAGTGAACATGTTTGGGTTCTGAGACAACTTTCCAGTTGGATATGTCAATAAATTCCAGCAAAAGGTACCCCCGGATTTCATGCTTTGTTTGGATCCCCGGCAGCTAGAGATAATACGAGAACAGAAAGCATGTCAGCGCTTCAAGAGATTAGGCGCACAATAGATTTTTGTCTGGTGAAATAGGCCTCCGTGGGTTCGACGTGCTGAGTCCGAAAGACGGCCCATCGCGACTTTCTGCTTTGTGGGCTTGAAGCGGCGAGAGGATGGCTCTCTTTTCCACTGTGGTTTTTTTTTTTTCATCACGGCGGAGCACTTTGAATCTTGACGTCTATGATCAACGCTTGAGCCGTTTTAGTCGTGGAATCGCCAATCGATCATTTTGTCTTTTAGCTTCTTAGCCCCAAACACTTATCTCCTCCAGATCTCGACAGAAGTCACCAGGTTTACAAAAGCATCCGATTGATCTGGCATTCGAGTTGAGCTTGCGCTTTTGCACTTCGAAAAGCCGCATTGTTTTAATACCTCGTCAGCGCAAGACGCACGGTATCTCCTTGACACTTGAGTTTCATTTGCTTCCCGGGTAACCGCTTCTCCACTTCTCTTGACACGTTTCAGTTCAAAATAAGTCACCTCTAAGATCATATGGGCCGAAATTCAAGTTGAGTAGACCCATCAGATTTGCTGTGACAGCATGATTTGTAAAAGATAAAAAAAGAAGAAAAAAGAGCAGCGTGGGCAATAAACAAGGTCCTGCAGTAATTTTATTTTATTTATATTTTTGTGGCTTTATTTGTGATGGAGCTGTTTGAAGTGATCGTTTTTTTGGGGGGGTTGGGTTTAGTTCCGCAAAGATGGCTGCCACTTCTAATGGTCCGTGAACTAACGATTGATTGTCAATTTTGACATATTTTGTCTTGTCTCAAAATTGATTTTTATGTCAAAAATCAACAAAAGCTCAAACAAGGAGTTTGACTTTGCGTCAGGATGCAGTTTAAAGAAGTAACAGACAAGGCAAAAAATACAAACTAAATACTCCGGTTTGGCGAGTACCGCTACCGGGTATCGATATTGCGCCAATGCAATCTTATTTTAAGACATCGCATACTTATGTAGGCTGCCGATACTTGTCACCGATACTGCGTCAGACAGCAAGGCCTTTGTGAACGTTTCAATGAATTTTTATTTTTCAAAAGTACTAGAAAGTATTGGTGCACCGTTTTGGTAAGTCCTCAAAGAGTGAATACTTGTTCTCGTATCGGTCCTGAAAAAAAATGTGGGAGCAAACATCACTACAAAATACGATACAATGCTAATGTGAAATAAGAATACAATACACGATGCTTGTTTTGCATTGGTTTAGATTTTTTATTTTTTTTTTAAAAGCCTGGAAAAACAGTTTTCCTGCAGTAAATCTGTGCTGTCGGGCCGGTGAGGACAGCTGCTCGTGCGGACAGGGACGGAGTCGGTGTGGATGAATGCACACAACGCCTCATTAGCTTGCCTTGCGCTCAAGTCTTTTGATGTGGAATCTCAGTCAGTTTTCACTGGAAAATGGAGGAATTACTTGACATTTTGGCAGCCATTTGTCATGTTCCCATTGTTATGCAAATGCCAATTGCGCTCCATTTGCTGCAAATGATTTGTTCAGCGTTTAAATACATGACAATAGGGTAAAAATGCAAATTGTTTTTTTTTTTTTTTTTCCCGGGACTGGCAGTGGACGTGTTAAACTTCAAGTCAAGTTCATTGTCAAATGTGCTCTATGTGTAACATAGACTTGAACAAGACTTGAAGCGGTTCTGGATGAAAGAGGAGCGAATCAAAGTGTCCTTTTCACCAGTGGATCAAAGACGTCATGCTGAAAATGTGCACATGTCTGCTACACGCTAAGTTTGAAAGGAACAAGAAGCTGTCGCGTCCATTAACGAAATGTTAATTTACTTAACGCTTACTTGCCAGCATGTTGTCAAGTCAATGCGTGAAATAAAATGGAAGGAGCGTAGTCATAAAGTAAAGGTGATATCCGAGTAGATCGCTCTGTAACGTGTGTGTCAAGTCATCTTTCCCCATTGAAATCAATGGAAAGGCCAATTATCGGCTCCAGGTAGCGCCGTCACAAACAAATCATTTTAGAAGGAATTATCGATTGTTTCATTGATTGGCGAGTATTCGTGACATTGAGAAGCACAAGTCTTGCGTCAGAATTTTTTTGTTTTTTTTTGCTCTCAGGTCAAAGCAAAATATCAGCCGAACAATGGCTCCTGTCTTGGTAAAAGAAGCTCTTCCCACTCCCCTTGAAGTGGGAGTGCCGCTTGTTAAATGTCGAGACATTTTGAATATCATTGCCATATAGATTTACCTCAGAAGAAATAGGACTGGTGATTGAAAATGAATTAGTAGCATTAGGATGACATTTAAAAAGGCTTTTAATATAAACTCACAAACCTTCTGAACTTGAGTCAGACGTGGGCTATTGGATAAAAAAGCTTGGATTTGTTTTCTCTCTCTCTCTCTCTCTCTCTCTCTCGCTCTTTCTCTTTGTCTCTCAGAATGTTTGTTGGGGGGGGTATATATCATTTTTGGTGTCCACAATGATATTTCCGTCGTATTGTTTAATGGTTGCTAAAGTATGACAACTATCCTGAGCTCTCTGTCTTGTCCTCAATTGTCCCCTCTCGTCTGTACAATTCCAAGCCTTCTTTATTTTTGCTTTTGCTTGGATGCATTCGTTCCCCAGGTGAACACACATCGTATACAATTTCCCGTTGTAGCGGAAATGCTGGTAAATCATTTATCACTCAGCTCAAAGAGGGAGCTAATCTTTTGGCGACGGGGATGGGAAGATGTATTGGATAGGGGAAAGAAAAAAAGGAATTGCAGCCATTTCGTAGTTTGGCAATGATGAATGCGATAGCTCCCCACACACGAAGTGGAAAGTACTCTGAGGATGTGAGTCCTTGGGCCCGAGCCTCATTTGAAATCCTTTTGCGGGACTGCGAAATTTCCACGTGGACGGAATCAAAACATTTGAAATCACAAATTTCACAACAAGTGATGTAAGGTGGCCATCTTGCGTTAAAATCAGAGTACCCAAGATTTGATTCCATCGTCACCTTGTTCGAGGTGATGATGTTTTCGGCTGTTTGTTGCTACAAAATGCGACTTAGTTTCAACTAGTGTGATCTCGCGCTAGCAAGAACAAAAATTGTTCCGGCAGAGCCAATCAAGTTTCATGTGGACAAACATTTATTTTGCAGGCAAATTTCCAAGTGGATGGAATCAAAACATTTTAAATGACAAATTTTACAAGAAGTGAACTAAGGTGGCCATCTTGCGTTAAAATCAGAGTTCCCGAGATTTGATTCCATCGTCACCTTGTGCGAGGTGATGATGTTTTCGGCTACAAAATTCTACTTAGTTTCAACTAGTGTGATCTCGCGCTAACAAGAATAAAAATTATTCTGGCATAGCCCATCAAGTTTCATGTGGACAAACATTTATTTTGCAGGTTCTTGTGTTGCATTCTCTTAACTGCGCTTGCCAGCGAATTTCTTTGGCGTTGGTTCGCGAACCAATGCCAAAAGATTTGCCCGGAGGCCATGGCGATGAGGCTCGCACAGACCTGCAGATGACACACCAAACTTGAA